AGCCTGGTCGAGCGGTCAAGTCCTCTGCCTACCCCAGTCGGATCATGTAATCCCAGTCACTCTTTTGCGAACGGAATTAAGGGGCAATTGAGAGGGAGATTTATGAGCTGGAATGGACCATGGTAAAGGCCGACCAAAATGAGGGGCCGAACATGGTTGGGCCGTGATAGCTTGTGCTCGGTCAGATAAGGTTTCGCTCGGTTGAGGCCCAGGACCATGGTGGGACCGAGCTACTTGGGCTTGTCTATGTAGAAAACGGAGCTACTCGAGTTACTCGGCCGAGATGATTGCCTGTCATTCTGGATTCTACGGTTCACGCGTTTAGCGTGGCAGGAGGGCCTTCGGTGTATTGGCTCGACCTGTCTTGAACTCGGCTTTGCCAGAATGCGACCGAGCTCGGTCGTTCTGGAGCTCGGCGAGTGGAACACTCGGGTATGCTGCACAGCGCGGTCGTGAAAGGCCGAGGTGGTTCTGCCGGTCTGCCGAGCTCCACTAATATAGCCTAACGGTCTGGTTAGGTGGTGATTGCAGGATTTGTGCTGACAGATGGGACAGCGGCACCACGTGTCAAGAGACTAGTGGGAGCAGTTTTGGGCGCAGAAAGTATATAAGCGTGTCTGAGCCCCCCATGCTGAGCATGGAACATTATTTTTGGTAAGAACAACCTAAACATTCAACTCTCTCCTCTCTCTATATCCCTAAGTGTGTGCTAACTTGACCGTCGGAGGGGTTTTCCGGCCACACACCGCCGGGTAGCTCACCGCCGTTGTGTTCGCAGGTCAATCGGACAGACAAGGAGCTTGGTGGAAAGGAGTACGGGCTCGGCAGAATATTTGCTCCCCGTACATGCACATAAGAAATGATGCTCACATTTAGAATTAATCTTGACCTCAAAATGAATTTTTTTTGATATAGTTTTGTTCCTAAATTCTGCATATATAACATTGCTCATTGTGATATATTCAAAAAAAAAAAAAATTCCACTTATTCTGGATGCACTTAATTTAAAAAAAAAATTCCACTTATTCTGGATGCACTTAATTTAGATGCATTTAAATAGTAATTTTTTTTTACAAATATGAAGAAGAAGAAGGAAAAAAAAGGAGATTATTTACGAATTTCAGATCATTTCCAGCCCTTCCTCCGAGAGACGACCCAGATTAGACCACGTCACCCCACTAAAAATCTCTGGCTCAAATTAGCTATAAATATATATATATATATATGTTATTTGGGGTGTCCAAAATAAGGGCACTTTTTAACTTTTTGGACTAAAAAGTTGAGGAAAAAAATGATTGTTTGGAATAACTTTTTGACTTTTTATAATAAAAAAAAATGTGTATTAAAAAATTGTATAAATTGGTATATAGGAGAAGATTGGGATGGAATAGGCGGTATGGTGGGATGAATTCAGGACAGCGTGTACAAAGTGTAGACTGGGATATGATTCCCTGCTTTTCGGGCATTGAATTGGAGGTGTTGTTCAGCCCGTGGGGGCCCACCACAGGTCTTGTTTTGCTAATCAAAACCGTTTAATGTGTAAAACTCGTCGAGTATTATATGCTTGTAAAAAATCACGCTGATCGGATATTGATAGCTATCTGATCGAATTAATTTTTTTTCAACCGTTAACTATAACACCATTCATTTTATAAATTTTAACTGATTTGATCATATAGTTACCGATATCTGATCAACGTGATTTTTTACGTGCATATAGTACTCGACGAGTTCTACACAAGCTCACTATTTATATCTATATGTAGGTGTTTAGGCACCGGATCGATGCTAGGAGCATCAAGTTAAGCTCATGTTTTGTCAAGCCAACCACCGTGCCTCACCTCGAGATTCCGAGTCTGTCTAAGCTAAGGCTATTTTGGGGTGTCTTAGTTTCCCCCTTTTGTTTATGATCTGTAATAAATGGTTAAGACTTGACTGTACAGTTATAGTTAGGGATTTGGTCCCTGACATTGATGTTTGTGTATATGTCTGTTTTGGTTGTTAATGTGGCATGTTTATAAAAACTCTTTTTGCATTCAGACTGTCACAGCTCATTGGACATCTTTGATTTACTGTTTTGGCTTCCGCCAGCCCCTTTACTCTGTATTATTG